TTTTTTTAAATAACATTACTTTTCTCAGACAACTCAAATATAACATGCAAAACTAAACAAAGTTACACTTGACAATGCGAGCTGGGCAAGAGTCAAGTCATTAAACCTAGTTGAACTCACTGACCCCTGGTCATCAGGGTGAAGCAGGGTGGAGATGGAGTGCTGGTCCAGGCTAGGGCTGCTCTTCACAGTGATGTTGCTGGGTTCACACTGGTCTGCATAGCTGGGCAGGACACCCATGGTCTTCCCACTGGGTGGGTAAAGAGTTGAACCGACAGCCAGCCACATGGAGACACAGAAGCCCACTAATATTCCTGAGTATGCTCCCTGATAAACAGATAAAGAAAAAACATAATCATTTGATTGATAGACTACTGAATGGATTTGTCTGGAAGTCTTATTCATGGGAGAAGTTGTGTTTCTGAAGCAAAAGTATGCAGGCATTCCACAAAGTATCATACAATTGTAGACATTTTTAATAAATACCTGGATCAACAGCCACTCACCAACCGGTTTGTTGCTGGTACAAACATGCCCAAAATGAATACACCCAGGAGTGGACCGCTGACCACACCCATGACAGTGAAAGATGCCTGAGAAGAGCAGACAACAACACAAAACTGTGACCTTCAAAAGTCAATTCTATGCTGTGATTTAGTTTTTACAGTGGACTGTCAGTTTCAGAATTCATGTCATCTGGTAATATTTAGGTGTCATACCTGCAGAACTCCCCAGTCCAGGAAGGAGGACAGGACAGCTATGGTGACACAGCCAACACCATATAGGAATGCTTTAAGAAAAATAAAATAAAATAAATGTTGAGTCTATTATTTATCATTGAACAACACTGAGTCTATATATTATGAAATGTGACAAAGAGGTAGTAAAATATGATTTGTACTCTGAAAGTGACACTTGATGCCCCTGTAAATCAAGTCACAGGTTTCTGCCTTAAATCATGAATGTCTTGGATGTTAAACAAAAGCAGTTGTAAGAAAACATAAAACAGCGTGTGCAGCTGATATTTTCAGTGAGACTTAACCTACACAGTCCTTTGGAAACAAGAATCAGCTTCCTCTGGGTCATGTGGGTCAGATGAGGTTGCAGCAGATCCGCCATCGTTACTGCA